TTTTAATCTAGAATTAATAGTATGAATAGAGAAGTAGAAAAACAATATATTTTATTACGAAGCGAGATTTTTTAGGATTCAAGATTTTGTTTATATATATATATATATATATATATATATATATATATATATATATATATATATATGATAAATGACAGGAATGTGTAGAGGGGGGAGAGAAATGACAAAAATGTGTGCTGACTTTTTTTTGGACAAAAATATGCAAAACTCACTTACCACTTGCGTTTTTGGTTGTGTCCCGTCGTATTTTTTTTTTCGTTATTTTCGTAAAACGCAAAGGTGACTTGCGTTTTTCGTATTGTATACCGTAAACGCATCTGCCAAATGCGTTTTCATGTGACGTATGGAATACGTTAAACGCATTTGGTAGATGCATTTTACGTATAATCGAAAAAAATACGTAAAACGCAAGTCCGAAATGCGGACTGTTTACCGGCGATCTATCTTGACAAGCCTAAAAGCATCAATTGATAGAGCCTTCAAAGAAACTCACAGAAATCGCATAGAAGGTTGCTGCTGCGGCATCTGCTGGCTTGGCTTCGCCGTGAGCGGTGGCTGGTCCGGCAAAACGGCCGCCGCCGATGCACCTCCGCCACCGAACCCTGTAAAATCCAGCTGCCTCGCCAGCTTCTTTGCCGGGAAATCCACAGCCGAAGAAGCCACCTCCATTTCAGCCTTTTTTGGAGGGAAATCTCCTCCCTCACTTGTTGTTCCCATTCAAAAATCAAAACCAGAAAAAATTAAGCCTAATTCTTCTTTTTTTATCCTACAAGAACGAAACTTTCCCCTCCAACAATCACAGCCTTCAGAACTCGAACCATTCAGATTCTAAATCGTTCTAGAAACTCCATTAAATTAAAAAAAAAAAAAAAAAAAAAAAAAACTCGTCATCAAGCGCAGCTCAGATTCAAAAAACAAATTCCAAAACTCGATCTTTACCGGCACAAAGACGCACACACTAAGGCTTATGCAAATCTGTGGGCGGAAAGATAAAAAGAAAGAGATTTTTGGAAGAAGAATGAAGGAGAAAAAGAGATTGAGAGCGAGTAGGCATCTTCTTGCTCTCTCTGTTTTTGAAATTCAATTTCATCCTACTCTCAGCATTGGACGGTGCGATTGCGCTTCATGTCCGCATGTGGTAATTGCGTTTTGTGCTTCGCCGTTCTTCGCGATCGCCGGAAATTGCCGGTACAAAAAATAAAAAAAAAACGCAACTTGCTCTTGCGTTTTGCGTATTATACGCAAAACCCAAGAGTAAGTTGCGTTTCTGCCTATACCGTATCATCCAGAAAACGCAATTACGTAATGTGTTTTACGTATACAAATACGTAAACGCAACCAAGTCTTGCGTTTTACGAAAATAACGAAAAAAAAATACGCCGGGACACAACCAAAAACGCAAGTGGTAAGTGAGTTTTGCATATTTTTTTCAAAAAAAAAAAGACGACACACTTTGGGAATTTTTCTTGTTTGACTACACATTCCAGTCATTTATCCTATATATATATATATATATATATATATATATATATATATATATATATATATATATATATATATATATAACTTTAAAGTTTTGTTTTTTTTTTTTATAAATATATTAATAGTTTTAGCGGGTTTAAACATGTTTCGTGTGATATCGTGTTGACACGACACAAAATCTATTAACAAAATGTGTCTATCGTGATAACCTATTAACCAATGTTTCAAAAATCGCGCCTAGGCGTCGCTCGGCCGCCGCGAGGAAGGTCGGAATCAGCCTCCTCCGCGGCCGCCTAGACCGCCTAGCCGGCTGAACAGTCCGATTTATTTATTTATTTATGTATTTATTTATTTATTTTAGGGTTAAAAACTTTGCGAAGACATAACTTTTGACTCGATCGTTGTCCGTTTTGGACAATATTTTCTTTCAAATCGCGTATTTTTTCGAGATCTATACACCGCAAACAACCGAAGAAGGTTTGGCCCTTTAATTTCTCTAAAAAATGCTTCTTTTGCCCTTAATTTTAATTTTTTTTTATGTATTTAGATGGTTTAACAATATTTTAAACTACTTTATAGCCACTTAAATAAATAGTTTGCGCTTAAATAAATAGTTTCAACAATATTTTAAACTACCTTATGTTTTATTAGTGAATTTTTATAATTTTTAATTTTTTTTTTTTTTTTTTACATTTAAAAAAAAATGTTTTACAACCTTGCTATTAACAAATCTTGTTCGTGTTCGTGTTAAAAATTTGAACTCGTTAACCTTAACGTGTCGTGTTCGGATTTAGCATTATCGTATTCATGTCATTATCGTGTTAACCCGTTAACGAACCCGTATACACGAATTGTCAGGTCTACTTGTATGGTCTTCTGTTAGATTTTAATATTTTATGTTAGTTGGCCATCAAATACAAGGATAAAGTTGTCTTTTCAAGTTATTTTCAATTGAATCAGTTATGTTAAACACTTAAACTCGAAATGCGAGTCAAAATCCCCAAATTTCATGGTCAATGAATATTGTGTTGCTCATCGTTCTTTTTCACAAGCCCTAGTCGGAAACGAGACTTGATCTTTGGAGTGTTTAGAGACATGGGTTCACAACGTATGGTAAAGAGGTTGAATCGAGTTGTCGAAGGCCGGTAAGTTTCTATTTGTTTTTCCTTCCCCTTCTCGTTAGTCATATAGGACTGTGAATAGGGATGGTTTTTACTTTGAAATGAATGGTTTTTTTATATGCTTAGTTGATGATTGTGAAATGTACGGTTTATGTTTTGTTGTTACTGGGTGGACAATTTATGTATGTTTGATGTTTTTTTTTTTTATTTTCATTTTTATTACTGATGATTGTGAAATGTGTTACTGGGTAAACACAGAGTTGGGGACCACTTCTTTCGTTAAACTTGCCTCCTCAATGGTGGACAAACCAGTACAATTTGAACACTAAATTATAAATTGTGCATATTGATTTCTTTATTCTGTAGCATATTTGTGTTTTTGTTGGGGATCACTTGTGATACTTGTGAATTTGCTGTGTTTGTATTTTTAACCGATGTTAGTCCTATCATTGATAGTTTTATGCTTAAACTAAGGCATGCGATCAGGAGAGGATTAAGCAAAGTAATCCCCCTATGTATATTGGTGGGTTTAGACATTCATTTAACGGTATGGACTATTATGAATAGGGAATGACTTCTTTAAAGGATAGTCTAGAAGAACTAGGGTATAATATGGTTGAAACTTTAAGATTTTTTGTGGTGACTGAAAAAGGTTTGAATAAGTTGCATACTGATTTGGATGTTTGGAGTTTAGTTAATAATGTTGTTAGGCCTAAAGACATTTAAATATGGGTTATAAAAGCCTGGATTGTGTTATGCTGTGCAACTGTGTGCACCATGCAAGATGCACACAGTTCCAATTCATAATTTCTAAACTATAGATTCATAAAATCTATAGTGTAGATTCATAATTTCTAAACCGTAGATTCATAATTTAAATACAGTAGATTCATAATTTCTATACAGTAGATTCATAATTTCTATACTGCAGATTCATGATATTCTGTACTGTAGATTCATAATTTCTAAACTGTATAGTTATCAAATTATGAACACATAATTCTGTGTTTTGTGAATACAGAGTTCAACAATTGGGAATATGAACATAGAAAATTATGAACATAGAGTTCTGTAATTGTGAATATAGAGTTCAATAATTATGAATATGAAGTTCAAAAATTATGAATATATAGCTTTATAATTACGAACATATAGTTCAACAATTATGAACATAGAACATTGTGCACCATGCATGGTGTACACGGTTGCACAGCATAATTTGCCGTTGACCAAGAGGAAGGTGAAGATGATGGCAAATTTTATGTGGACCATGGTGTATGTAGCAGTGTGTTCCATGAAGTATCATTTTAATTACACATCAGTTTCATTTGACAATATTGCTCCGTTTTCAAGTTTCATTTTCCACACACACTAGTTTCATTATAGCAATACTAAAGTATCATTTTAATTCTACTACAGTCTCATTTAACAATATATATTGCATGAGCTCTATTTTGTATTTTCATTTTTCCCACATACTAGTTTAATTATAGTAATATTACAGTACCATTTTAATTACACTCTAGGTTCATTTGACAATGTATGTTAGTTATTGTATGACTCTAAATTTTAGTTTCATTTTCCATACACACTAGTTTCATTATAACAACACTAAAGTATCATTTTAGTTATATTATAGTTTCATTTGACAATATACATTGTTGAATGAGCTCTGTTTTTTTTTTTTTTTAGTTTTATTTTCTACACACACTAGTTTCATCATAGCAACACTGAAGTATCATTTTAATTCTACTACAGTTTCATTTGACGACCATGATCCACCTAACAACTGGAAGATGATAGTGCCAACAGGGTTGGGGGTGAAGATGATACTACCATAATGTTTGAAAATGATATTGATGAAGTGTATGTGCAATCTGTGAATGAGGAGTCTGTGTATGTAGTTGTTGACTTAGAATTTGAGAGGTACATAGATGTTGATGTAGAGTATAGAGGTGTTATTGGATTTGAATGAAGAAACTGTCACTCAAACTGTAAATACAAATGAGGTAGTTAACATTTTTTTACGAAGGGAATTTGAATGGATATGACAATGAGGGAGTTTGTTAATTTGCATATATTGCTCTATCTGCAAGAGCCAAGGGCATAACATAAGAAAATGTCCCAAAGACCCACTAATAGAATTGTTAATTATCAAAATAAGTAGTGTTTGTTATATAGACTTGTTGTTAAAGTGGGTAGTATTGTCTTTTCACACCCTTTCCTTTTCTGTTAATTCCGGTTGTACCAGAACATATAAGGAAGTCTTCTTCCTTCCTTCTCTGTATCTTCTTCATTCAATTGTTCCACAATCAATGAAACTACTCAGTTCTACTTTCCATCTCAGCTCAGACTAGCTCATGCCAAACTTTCATCATGGTATCAGAGCGACGTCCTAGCTATGCCGCGGTGGTTACAGAGAATAACGTAGCCGGCGGAGAGAATCTGGCCGGACAATCTTCGAATCCAGCAAATCAAAGTCCGTTCGATCAAGCTCCAACTCAGCGGAATGATGAATTCGACGATCCGCTATATTTGCACATCACCGAGAATCCGAATTTGGTTCTCGTATCTCCTCCGTTATCCGAACACAACTATGCTTCATGGAGTAGGTCGATGAAGATAGCCCTAGAGGTGAAGAACAAATTTGGCTTTGCTAATGGATCTATTCCAAATCCAAGGGAGAATGATCCAAGGTATGCAGTGTGGAGGAGATGTAACACGATAGTTTGCTCGTGGATTCTGAAATCTCTAAGTTCGAGCATTGCGGAGACTGTTCTATACTATGAAGTTGTAGCGGATATCTGGAAAGCTCTCAAGAATAGGTATACACAAGCAGATCCTCACAGAATTGCGGAGTTACAGAATCAAATCTACCGAAACATGCAAGGTAATTTGACTGTTAATGAGTATTTTACAAAGTGTACTGCCTTGTGGGAGAAGTTGAATGCTATGAGGCCTATATTACTCTGTGAATGTCCTCCTAGATGTACTTGCAATCTCCTTACTAAAATGCAGAAAGAGAGAGCTGATGATAGAGTCATTAGGTTTCTAGATGGTCTCAATGATGACTTTGAAACAATAAAGTCAGGGGTGCTTATAATGGATCCTATCCCAGACATGGAAAAAGTCCTTAATATGGCTTTAAAACTAGAGAGGAAACTCAATGGTTCCATTGCTCAAAGGAGCAATGATTTGGTCCAGTCTAATGCTGTTCAAAATGGTCAGAATCTAGTTTTGGGAGATCAAAGTCTTGTTGATGTTTCAGATTCAAATAATAGAAAGAGGTTTGGGAATGGTGTAGGTAAGAATGTGCCTAAATGCACCTATTGTGGTATGAACGGGCACACAGTTGAAAAATGTTATAAAAAACATGGATTTCCACCTGGATGGATACCAGGCTACAAATCCAAGAACATGCAGAATCAAGAGATTCAGCAATCTGCAAATTCCTCTACAAGCCAGATTGGGGATATAGGACTATCAGCTGATCGGTTTCAGAGGTTGCTGGCCTTTATGCAAAATCAAAACCAGAGTCAGGTTTCCACTAATCTAGCCTCAACGAATGCTGCTACGAAGATGGACAGTTCAGGGATGAGGCCTACCTTCAAGTCCACTCCTGATGATCTCAATGAAGGTAGCCTTGTTTCTAATCTTTTTGATAATACTGCTGTTAGGCCTAGCTTATGGATTATTGATTCAGGGGCAACTGATTATATTATCTGTTCCCTAGAATACTTTGAAAAGTGTGAGGCAGTACATGGGGTTCTTGTGAAATTACCTAATGGAGAAACAGTTAGTGTTAGTCATGTGGGAGAAATCAGACTGCATGAGAATATGTTGCTGAAAAATGTGTTATGCATTCCTTCATTCACTTTCAACATAATTTCTGCCAGTAAGTTGACTAAGCAGTTTTCATATAAGCTTGTTTTGGATGCTAATTCTTGTCACATCCAGGGCTTTCATGGGAAGATGTGTGGTTTTGCTAGGGAAAAGGATGGATTATACCTGTTGATAGATCCTCCAACCAGAAGAAAGAAGCACTGTGTAGATGAGATTACTAGAGCTCAGTGTAATGGCTTATCTTTACAGTTGTGGCATAATAGATTAGGGCACTTCTCTATGAATAAGATGTCTTTTTTAGATGGAATAAAGCATGAGCAGTTTTCAAAATCATAAAAATTTGCTTGTGATGCATGCCATTTTGCTAAGCATAAGAGATCAATGTTTCCTATAAGTAGCTCTAAAACTGATAATTGTTTTGATCTAATGCACATGGATGTTTGGGGTCCCTTTGCCATTGCCTCTCCAAAGGGGGAACACTATTTTCTAACTATTGTGGATGATCATAGCAGATTCACTTGGTTACATCTTATGAAAAATAAGTCAGAAGTTGCAGTGCTCTTTCAAAGATTCTATCACTATGTTCTTAATCAATTTTCTGTGAGCATTAAGGCAGTAAGAACAGACAATGGAAGGGAATTTTTGATGGACTCCTTTTGCAGTGAGAAGGGAATTGTTCATCAAAAGTCATGTGCCTACACACCCCAGCAAAATGGAGTTGTTGAGAGAAAACATCAACACATATTAAATGTAGCTAGAGCTATAAGGTTCCAATCTGGCCTTCCAATGAATTTTTGGGGACATTGTGTTCTCCATGCCTGCTACCTTATAAACAGACTGCCAACCCCAATAGTTGATGATAAGAGTCCCTTTGAGGTTCTTTTTGGAAAAATCCCAAGGTATGATCATCTGAAAATTTTTGGATGTTTGTGTTATGCTGCTACAACTTCACAGGGAAGAAATAAAATGCAATCAAGAGCCAGAAAGTGCATTTTTTTGGGAGTTCCTGCTAATATAAAGGGCTACCTATTGTATGACATTGTTAACCAAGATGTCTTTGTGTGTAGAGATGTTCAGTTTTATGAACAGGTGTATCCCTTCCAGGAAGAGAAGAAAAATTCTAGTACTAATGCCAATCAACCTGAGAATGAAGAAGTTGAAGAGGATGATTCTTTGCTGAATTGCCCTTCAAATAATACAAGAAGCATCCCCCCTGGTCCTTCACAGAGAACTAATGATTCTGTTAGCACTGAGAGAAATAATACCACTTTTAATGGTGATGATGTTACACCATACAGTCTTGACAGATCAGAAAATGATTCTGCCTTACAGCCAGCCAATGAAGTTATCAATGAGAATGGGGTTGAGGACACCATGGTCCTGCATGATGTGAGCAACAGTCAACCACAACACAGGAGGTCTCTGAGAGTAAAGACTGTTCCTGCTAAGCTTCTTGATTATTATTGTCAGACATTGGCCAAAGACAATACTACCCCCTTTAACAAGAACAAGTCTATATAACAAACACTACTTATTTTACAGTTTATTGCATCTTCATATTCATAATTTCCAACTTCTTTTGTGTTATAGGCAAATTGCAACTGTATTGCCAGTGGTGGCAGAAGATGTGGTTGTGGCAGAGGAGATTCTTGTTATCACTCGACCTCCTCTAGAAGAGTATTTGGATATTCCATGTAATACAAAGCTAATTTGTTTATGTTGCCACACTTTCTTTACTAATATGTGTATATAATTCATACAATATAATATTGTAGAACAAATGTATTGACCATAACAAATGGAGATGAACCAAGGACAAACAAGTGGTGGGGATGAACCAATATCAACAGACAACAGTGGGAGTGACACAATACAATGGGAGGAGGGAAGATACTTCCAAGAAAAATATTTAACTAGAGTATCAAACAACTTTAAATCAAAGTTTCATGGGAAAGATAAAGCTCCAATCAACCTTGACTTCCTCACAGTAATCCTTGAGCCACGATATTTTCCTCCAGTGGTCCCACTTTTCGCCATTGAAGACTTCTCCGCACCTCCATCACCAAATCCACCATGCGGTGAGTGAAAACATGGTTTTCCAATTTCTTCCATGCATGAGTTGTCTGAACGCTTCCCTTGATATTATCAGTTAACCACTGGTCGAAGGTCAGTCCCTCCAGGCGTCTAGCCTCATTGAAAGGGATTAATGCACGCCAAACCTGCTTCGCCTGTTTGCAATTATTAATTTAGAGTAAAAATTATTATTATACGATTGATAATTATATACTAGATTTAAGAATCAAAAGTGGTAAACATTATTTTTTTATACTATAGCCCATCTCGTTTTTTTAAATGAATGATTTTTTAACTTTGTTAAAGAGATGGACTAGATTTATAACTTAGAAATAATTCAAGAATCAAAAGTGGTAAACATTATTTTTTTTAAAAAAAAAATAAAGTTGTTTGATTTGATGTTGTAAGAGTTTTTTTTGCACTTTCGGTCCCACGACTATAGTTGCACTATCAGGATTGATCCGCGACTTTCAAACTTTACAATTTCAGTCCACGACTATTGTTTTTGTTGCAAAAATGATCCTTCCGACCAATTTTCCGTCAAAATCTCACCAAAGAAAAATTTCTCATTTCAAGTAGGGATAAAACAGACATTTACATTGACTTTGCAATCTCGGACCATTGTTGGCCTCTTATTTTGACCAAAGTGCGAAAAAAAAAAAAAAAAAAAAAAACCAATTGCTAGAGACGAACCCTAATCTGCTCCCATCTCATCAACCCATCTGTGAACAAGAGGAGAACATCGATTGTCATCTTCAACATGCCATCCATTGCCAATCTTCATCTTCTTTATTTTGAAGAAAAACATAATGGCTTTATCGATTGTCATTTTCAAACCCAACTTTCCGTCTCTGGCAATTGTTTTTTTTTTTGTTTGATTTTTTCGCAGTTTGGTCAGAATAAGAGGTCAACAGCCGTCCGAGATCGCAAGTGTTGGTCCCGGTAGGCTCGAATGAGAGTCTAGAAGGGGGGGGGGGGGTGAATAGACTCTAATCGATTTTTCAAAGTAACTCCTTTCGGAGCTATGCACAACGGAAATTACGTTTCGTCTTAGATACACTTTGCATACTTTCGTTGGGAAAATTTAGCGTTTGGTCAATATGTTATACAATGCACGAAAGTAATAAAGCAGTAAGTGAGAGATATGGAGAGAGAGATTTTATAGTGGTTCGGCTGTTAACGAAGCATACTCCACTCTTCTTTCACAACTCGTGAAAGGGTTTGCACTATCACTCCTAGTACAAACTACTTCAAGCTGGCTTCCTTGATCACTAAGCCGGACAGCCACTTGAAAGGTTTTTCAACTCCTCGAGTTTACTCCGCCTCTATCAACTCCTTCCTAAGTTGAGATGTTGGAAAGATAATATGATGTTTCTCCAACAGGTTGAAGCCTTGTCTTGACGTCTGGATTGATCTTCTCTTGAGAAATTACAAGACTGCTTCGAGTTGTGAAGTATGGAGATAGATATGTCTTTGAAAAACTTCACAAAATCACTGGTTATGAAAAACTTTGGTAGATGAGACTGCTTGAAGAGCTTTTCTTTGAATTGTATGAGTGAATTAACCAGCACCTTCTTTAATAGTGAAGAGAGGTATTTATAGGTGAAAAAATCCATTCGTTGGAGGGAGATGTAGATTTCAAACCTAATAACCAGTGTGTATTAACCAGTGGGCATCAAGCATTTAATGCACTTGTACTGTGTAGGCGTTGGAGCCAAAAGTTTTATGACTTTTGTCCTTATTCTCTAACAAGATGGTACAAGTATTTTAATGCTTCTTGTCTTTTGTGAAGATCATTTCTAGGACACTCTTTGTCCGAATGATTTGCCCATCTGAGTCATAGACAACATTCTCATTGCTTTACTTAAATGAAGGTTGTCTTTTACAAGTCTGTCTTTGAGTTGTTCACTTAGAGATATTGGTCGAAAGATTGACTTTATCTTTCGTCCTTTCTCTTAGACGAGAGATCCTTTTTGTCAAATGAAGTCTATCTGAGACTTGCTCAATCAATCTTTCGCCACAAATAAGAGGCTAATACCACGCAGGTGCATATTCGAATAACCACATAATCATTATAAAACACATATGCACATATATCAACACAGGCGAACCACATTTACGAGTGGATGCAAGCATTTAGTATGTAGTGTAGCATGTCGCGAGCCAAATGCTACATATATAGGATCTATACCTAATCATTGTGCTAAACAGACTATACCAAATTCTCGCGATTACAAAATAACAAGCCTAACACGTACGATAATTAACTATTTATATGTGGTACCTGCAAGTTAGCATGCCTATATGTATAAAGTCGTAATTATGCTAAATATACAATTTCTTAAGTCTATAGGTATGAATGCATGTGAACATATTTCAAATCTTAAGTAATAAATAGTCCTATGGAATCACACAGCACATATACGTATTATTCATCATGTTAAACTAGTGCATAATTAACAAATAAATTCACGTACTCAACATTGCGGCATAACCAAACAATTGTCATATAAATTCAGGAAGGTCATAAATCATATAACAATTACTCGAACTAATAAAAGATCGATTTCCAATAAAAAGATCTTTACGTAACCAATTAGGAGAAAGGTTCTTGTTTCTTATGGGGTAAATAACTTTGGGGAGACAATAGAATTAGGACCTTTATTCTGCACATCATGAATAATGATGGATAATCACATAACGAGTATTTACATATATACTAACGTTTAGCACATACGGAATATTTCACCGGATTTCATAGACGAATACTTTATGTCTATTTCGTATGCCGTGAATACAGAGGTGTTATACACGATTGATCATAGCATACTAAGTATACAAGTATTGGCACGTATATGCAGATTGCTTGCAATTAATAATATTGTATATATGCATAGTGGAATGCTTTATAACATACAGTTTTGTCTAACATGCTTTATGTATACCGGAATGTGTGTAAGTATGCATTTCAACACAAACATGCGAGCTATCTGATTTGACACACAATACATACACAATGAAAATATAAATCTCCACCTACAATTTGAACATGCAATTCGCATACAAATATTCTTTAATATTTACGAGTGAAATAACCTAGGTTCACAAATACTAAAAGATTATCTTTGAGAAATCTTGACAGAATTTGATCACACAAGCAATTAGGAAAATCAGTTTTATCTCGGGGTGAATAAATTTTAGGTAGGCATAAATCTTACCTCTAGAAGCCTAGAATGCCTAAACAACTTAGAATTGAAGACCCT